CCGGGTTCCTCAGCCACTTCTTGGCGGATGTTTATCCTTCAATTCAATGGCTTGCTGGTCAAACAATAGGATGTATGATATATGCACATCATGTCTGCATTGAATCAGTACACATTGCCTAAAAAAAACTATCAAAAGAAATATGTATGATTGCACACATATGGAGGTTTCCTAAAAGGGGGGGGTACCCTTAAATCATCAATTTTAATAGGATTTTACTAGGATTTTCCATTCTAAACCATCCAGCTATTGAGGTAAATCCAACATCTGCAGATGGATGACCGACCGTTGCCCCCCAAGGAGGTCCCCGTCTGGCGCTTCCCTGCCGAGGACGGCAACCTGCGGTGGCCGCCCGCCTCTGGTTATGACTACCAGTTCGCCATGGTATAGATGGCCCATAGAAATAGATGGTTTACCTATTAAAAACGGTGATTTTCCATGGCTATGTTAAATAACCAGAGGGTATATATATAATATAATGAATATAAATGATTATAATATGAATTGTGAGAAAAGAACATGGAAATCCCTTCCCACAATATTGACTTCCCCTGCAAATGGCCCTGAAAAATCATCGGATCCATGATTGAGCTGGGTAGCATTTCGGTCATACAGGGATATAGATTGAGATACCATCCACTTGGTCAATTCTTTACCAATCTGGTACGAGTACTCACTTACATTGCACAGGAACATCCACCATTTGTAGAACTATTGGAATGCGCGAAGAGAATCTCAGAGAGTCACTTTTGGTGGCTGAAGCCTCGCACCTAACTTAGGGATCGGACCAGAAATATCTTGGAGAGTCAAGGATGGCAAACTCAAAACTGCAACGAATTTGAACAGTTCCACTGCCCAACTCATACAAAAAACGTTTGATTCAAGACTCACGAAGAACTGCGCTGAAACTCATCTGAAAACAGCCAGCACTGGGTCCAATGTTCAAGAGAATATTTCGTCCCAAACATAAGCTGTTTAAGAACCAACCAAACACCAATATCATGTTGTTTATCTTTGTGCCGTCGCCGACTCGTCCATCACAAAAAAAAAACTGAAAAATACCCGAAAAAGCTTTGCGTTCGTTTCAGCAGGGTACCGTATTTCACATATTCCTCCATGGTTTCCTCCATTTATGACCAAGAATTGATCCTTTTCAAAAAACACAAAGTCGGGGGTTGAATTCTACCCAAATTGGTGTGTGGCTCATCATGGCATGAATGTCTGAATATAATGACGATGTTCACACTATTGGGTAGGATTTTATCCATGATGTTTGATTGTCCCATGCGGTGATTTCATGACTCTCAATACATTGGGGCTCCTCATCACCAAAAAAACAATGATGATGAAACCATAATTCACCAATATAGTTCTAAAAAGTCAAAATATGGCTTATCATATAATGATATCTGATGATTTATACATTCCATGGCTTCTTGAATCCTCCTTATCGAATCCCCAAAATATTAGGTGATACCAACTATAGATAGGCCATGGGCTAAACATATCTAAACACATATACGTCCAACACCTAAGACATATATTCCATGGCCTATAGCTTCTCATATCAATGGCCATTCCAGACGCCCTAAATTGAAGCTACGTATACCATCAATTTCAGGCCATTCCATTTCAGGTGATATACCCCTGATTTCTATGATAAATATATATATATGTGGTTTTCACTGTACAGAAATGTGCCACAATATATATATATACAGATAATAGTTTCGACAATTTAATTTGTATAGGTATATTAATAATAAATACAGTATATATATAATGTACAGATATTACGGATAAATTTAGGTAGCATATATATATATATAGATAATAGTTTCGATAAATATATTATAATCATCAGCATCAAATTATAAATATCAAACCCATGATCATGGTACCAATTGGTAAAATACCATCAAATCATGGTATATCAAAATACCATTATCATTGGTAAAATACCATTTTTGAGGTACCATTGATTATCAAATCAAATTTTTCATGGTACCTCAATTGGTCGAAAAAAAAACCGGAGCACCTCGACGAGGCGATCGGACATCCTCGTCAGCATCTTCTCCATGAAGGTCCTCGTCTTTTTGGTGGGACATCCATGGAAAGCATGGGGAAATATCATCTCATATCATCATACCCTCTGGTAAACTAACATAACTATGGAAAATCACCATTTTTAATGGGAAAACTCACTATAAATGGCCATTTTCAATAGCTACGTTAAATTACCAGAGGGTACATCCGGTGGCTGCATACTGAAATAAAGGCATCAATTTTTTTGGAGTTACATGATCAGTCTCATGGAGGAATGGCATGCCAAGTATGTAAACATTAGCCATTGCTCCGCCGAATATACGGAGTGGATACGGGGTGAATATGTCGTACCAAGTGTAGATATGGACAAATAATTGTTATTGAAATATAGGCCATATCTACACGTGGTAGATTTTTTTTTGTGTAGATTTAGAATTGTTATTCAAATTTTCACATTCCAAAAAAAGGCCATTGGTCTTGACCTGTTGATGGATTTTCAACTGCCCTTACCCTAACCTTGTGATGAAAACCCAGCGGCAATAGCGAAAGCATGCGAAAGCCGTGGAAAACCGGAACCCCATCAATGTGAAAATCAGGAAACATCAGGAATACATCAATAATACTTCCTGCTATTATCTGCTATTCATTTTTTTCGAAGTCGTCACATAGTCGTCACCATGCCAGGGCGCCCTCCCACCCCGAAACGCCCCGAAAAGCTCAGGGACGTTCGACTCTCGCAGCCCGGGCTAAGGTTCACTTCCAATAGCCACAACTTCATTGCCTGCCAGGGCTGTCATCTGAGGTACCTGGGAAATATCTTATAGAACTCTACCATCATGGAAAACAAAAAATCTTACACTTGTGTTACAATATATATACATAAATAAATAATCAGGTGGTATAGATAAATGGGTGTCATCCCTTTTTTGTTGAACGGGAAATATGTCATAATCTGTTGCTATGGTCATACTGAGCAAGAAATTCAGGCAGAATCTGATCGGTTTCGGAGCCGACCTCCTTGTTTCTGCCGCTTGTCATCTATCCATGTCTACTTTGATGATTGAAACAACCAAATAGGATATAATAACTACTGACTGAAACTGTGCAGGCATATATATATATATATATGTGTATATATATATATGCACATACTGCATACTTACAATATACAATGCAATATATGTACACGCATACATGTATATATATATATATCCAAGATAGATTATGTACCAACATATACTATGTATATATTATATTATATTTAAAAAAACAATATATAATATATAGATATATAATATATATATACACAAATAATATTGTATAATCACTAAAAGGTGCATAACATGAAGTTATTGGCGCCTCGTCCACCATGACATCGAAGCCAAAGACTTCAAAGCTCTCGGCGCGCGGGGTCAACAAGTCGCCTGTGGCGCGCATGACCTGCGCCCGGCGTGTCATGGCCGCTGGGAAATCCCAGTAAAGGGAGGAAAACCATGGGAACACCATTTGAAAACTCCCCAACTAAATGGAAATGATTCTGAATGGAGGTTTTGATGGGAAACTCATCTGTAAATTGGGATTTTCCATAGCCATTGTTCGGTTACTGGAGGGTATATGCATGGAATTTTAGCATCAAATTGAGTGGAGTTTCCTGTAGATTTTTGCATCATCCGATTCTGTGATCTTGTGGCTTTGTCATGGTTTGTCTGAAAATGGAATGCCCCCGGCAAAAAGATATGGGTCGATTTCTTTTTAATGGGGGAGTAGAACGGAATATAACCAAGATGATGATAACCACTGGCTGTGAAGATTATGTATGACACCCCAAAAGGTCGTTTGCATCGGGAAAATGATGAACCACACCCAGGTGGGTTCCATATATGGAAGCCACTACTTGGGATGCTCATCCCAGGTACTCCAGACTTTTCAGCTACACTGCTACACGGTGTTCGAATCTGCTCTGCTGGTGGAATCTGCTCCGTCTTGTTGCGAGCAGTTTTTTCCGAGGAGACCCTGCTCCTCGCCAGCACTGTGAAGCAGATCTAGCGCCAACAAGGGCTGGCGCGACGTTAACACGAAGGTTGCATGTCTTCTGAAAGCCAAAGTTTGATGGGCAATTCTGCCGGAGAATCCAACATGTTCATGGTATCTAAACTAAATGACTGATCAGTATATCATAATATATCAATTATTTATTTTAGATATTGTGTCTGCAAGTATTCTATACGCATACATTACCATAATTACATGACGTATTCTGCATATCATGTGTATTGTTGTACATTAGATACCATATTATGAAACGCATAAGCCAAAAACATAACATCAAATGGAACAGGATTAGGAAATTCCGGACACGCCCGTGGCTGGCTAATCTAGCTAACTTGCTGGCAAATGCAACCAAAGGAGACATCTATCGAATATGATAATATGTAGTCATTACATAATGTAATAAACATATAATACATTATAATACATGACAGAGAATGCAAAGACATAGTATGCCGATATGCCGCACAAAATATCACGCAATATAATGAATACAACACCATGAAGTCGCAGGCATCAATTGCTCTCAAGCTTCAGCAAGAAATAAACGAGAAATGCAAACACCGAAAGGAATCAGACCCCTCCAGGATCTTCAGCTTTCGTGCACTAAATTCCTGACACAACGTCCGTCACGCAGACAGGTCTGGTCGTCTGTCAGGGCCGCCAGGAAAGTTGGTGAGATGTACAAGCAGCGGCCGTTGAACGGGCTCAGGGGCCCACAAGATTCGAAAACATCTGGACACTTCGCCCAGCTACACCAAAATGTAAAACATCTCAATGTCTGATCCCTGGACCTCCAATGCATTCTGATCATTCTGGCCCCGAAATCAGGAAAGAACAGCTGTCTAGATTGAAACAGGTTCGAAACCATCATCAATTCATCACCATTATCCAGCAATTCAGGAAAAAAAAACTCCAGCCTGAAACGAAATTGCATTGGACCCTACTAGGAGATTCAGACAACTGAGGTCTGAAATTCACAACTTTTCAACCAGTGTTTTGCATACCCGCTGCAATTCCCTGGATGCTGATGATCATCGCATCTCGCAACTCATTGGGAACTTCTCCCTGGCTATGCCGCAGTCTGCTGAGCACTTCAGCTTGAATGGCCTAGACAGCCCAAAGGAACATCATGGCCGCACCAAAAATAAAAGGAAGGGGGGATACCTCATTTACTTCAAAATGAAAATACTGTTGCAGTACATCCCTGAAAATCAGCGAAAACAACCAATAGGTTTGGGTCTGTATATACATAGCCTTACATTATGTACCCATCTAAACCTCTTCGGATGATTTCGGATGCGTACTAAGGTGAGAACGGTACTGCAAGAAAATCACACTTATGCTGCTAAGCAAACATTGAAGTGGCGTGAGTGGCATCCAAGAAGGGTCGGCGCATATCAATGGCAGTCTTCAAATTCGGCTCGCTAGAAAGAAGCTCACTGCTTCTTTTCCTGAGATTGCTGCATCCAAAATCCCAGTTGCTGGAAAAAATGGAGGAGCCAGCTGGGGCAAAATTTGTGGATGGTATGAAGATTGGAGTTGGTGAGAAGCCCTTTTATAAATCAAATTTAATGGGAGGAGGACATCTATGACTATGACGCTATGGACAGAAAATATCATATTTGGTTTTTCCCCACCTGCCCACCTGCCAGGTGAGGGTCTCTAGATTCTATCAGAGCTGCATCCCGCCTTCCGCCTCTACCTGCACCTCCGCCTCCTCAACCGCGAAGTCCAGTTCTCAGTGGGCACTGCTGGACCTCAGCCGCTCCAGATCTCAGTGGGCACTGCCGGACCTCAGCCAGACGCTAGAATGTCAGAATAGATGCCAAGTGGAATGCCAGAAAGAATGTCAGAGAGAATGTCAGAAAGAATGTGAGAATTTATGCCAGAAAAAAATGTCAGAATAGATGCCAAGTAGAATGCCAAAAAGAATGTCAGAGAGAATGTCAGAAAGAATGTGAGAATTTATGCCAGAAAAAAATGTCAGAATAGATGCCAAGTGGAATGCCAGAAAGAATGTCAGAGAGAATGTCAGAAAGAATATGAGAATTTATGCCAGAAAAAATGTCAGAATAGATGCCAAGTAGAATGCCAGAAAGAATATCAGAGAGAATGTCAGAAAGAATGTGAGAATTTATGCCAGAAAAAATGTCAGAATAGATGCCAGATAGAATGTGAGAATTTATGCCAGAAAGAATGTCAGAATATATGCCAGAACAGATGCAAAATAGAATATCAGATAGAATGTCAAAGTATATGCCAGAAAGAGTGTCAAATAGAATATCACAACAAATATGGGGTGGGGATCACTCGAAGAAAGTAATTCTCAACAGGTGCCATCAAGGTATTTTGGACCAAGAGATCAAGGGAATAGAGGAACAATCTTCACTGCCAGGTGACACCTTCAGAATGTTGGTGATGGTCTGTTGCAGTCCATCCCTCAGAGTAGCTCCCAACTTCTTCAAATCGTCATCGCTCACGGTTTTACTTTCCTGGGGCTGCACGTAGCTGCGCGTATCCAGCCGAAAGCAAACAACATGGATAGTAAGTGGATCAAATCTATCAATCATGCATTCTTAGTAGGATCAAAACACCAGCTACTGATGCTTTCATGGCTGGTCTTCCATCAATTTGGGTCAAACGCCTAGTTGTGTTGGGTGAAATCTCTATCTTTAATGGGTTTAAATCCAAAAAACATAGGATTTTGTCGGTTAAATTTCAGAAAATAAAGATAGCTTTCGTCAAAGTTCATAGTGTTCGGTGATCACCGGGGAAGCTTTGCCCAACTCCACATCGATGAGGTCCAACATGGAGCTAAAAAATGGCCACTCCTGGAGCGCGATGACTTTGGATTATGATGATGATCATTCCCCAAATACAAAGGGTATATAGCATACAATTAATCACACACACACATATATATATATAGAATAATTATATACATAGATATAATACATAGATAAAGATAGTGTGAATATAAAAACACACACACACATATGTATATATATATAAGATAGTACATTATACACATCTTACATTTATAATTTATACAGTTATAATCCCCCTGGGGTCCCTACTACAAAATCAGGAACTCACCTGCAAAATGCCCAAAATTGATGGTTTTTGGGTTGTTCCAATATTTGCCAACTGATAGATCTTGATTTTGTAGAAAAGTAGGGGTGCAGGCTCGCTCTCCAGAATCGAAGGTTTTGGGGGTCCCAACACCCTGATTCTGGAGAGGAAGCTGCAACCAAGATAAATTATATATATATATATATAACCATATACAACCCCAAACTGAATCATCAACCAAAAAAGGTGATGGTAGAAACTGGGAAGAGTTCACAACAAGGAAGATTCATAAGCAAACGACGGAGAAGCAGAATGGCAACTAGTCCTCACGTTACCCTTGTCATTGGTTTAGATTAATGGTCCGAATTATGCACTCTTCCTATTTCATCCTATTTCCATTAATGTTGACCTACGATTTATCAAACTACCCTGAATAGTGCTAAATTTTCTCCCAAACTAAATAATAAAACTACCCTGAAAAAAGCTAATTTTTTTTGGCCCTAAACCCAGATTTGCCCAGATCCATGACATGAATACTAAATCAATACTAAATCAATGACATGAATACGAGATCAATACTAAATCCATGACATGAATACGAGATCAATACTAAATCCATGACATGAGTACTAGATCAATAGTAAATCCATGACATGAATACTAAACCAATACTAAATCCATGACATGAATACCAAATCAATACTAAATCCATGACATGAATACTAAATCAATACTAAATCCATGACATGAGTACTAGATCAATACTAAATCCATGACATGAGTACTAGATCATTACTAAAACAATTGTTGGATTCCTTTTTTTTTGAAATTGCATTTTATATATTCGTTTTCAATTGTGGTAATTGAAAACCTTTACATACAAACAAGTTTGATGGTGGCTTTAAGTCTATTTAGGGTCAGAGAGAGAGGGGGGGGCCCCCTATTTATAAATCAGAGGTGGGCATTACATCCCATGAAATCCCATCCTTGTACATCTGCTGCAGCAAAGGAAGCTTCCCATGATCAATAAACTTCTGCAAGGCCACCCCATTTCCAAGCCACACGGGCAACAGGAGCCGCGTTTGGGTCCAGGCGAAAATCCATGGAATTGCGCGCAAGGTGTCGATACCACCTGGGTGAAGTCCCATGAAAACATATGAAATCCACACTTTTCTTGGTTCAAACCCATGAGACCCACATATTCTGCAAAATAGAAAGGACAAATCATACTCCCATCATTTTAGGATGAAACAAGGAAAAATAGTTCCAACCAACAAACAACTTTTGAGACGTACATCTTTGTTGTTAGGTAAACTCCCCATTCATTTGTTGATGTTGAAATCAAACCCTGGGTAAATTATACTATTTCACTAACCTATCACTAACCTGAATAGTTCGGCCATTTGGGGATGATTTCCCTATTGTTTCCCCTACTAACCATCATTCCAGGCTTGGGGAGAACAGTGAGGTCTTGGGTAAATCAACCATCCCACAGATGGGCCTCATTGCTGTGATGGGGTGGACCCTCTGGTCATTTCACATAACTATAGAAAATCACGATTTCTAGTAGGTAAATTTCATCGAACTAAGTGGACCATGTTCCATAGCTATATTAAGTTACCAGAGGGTAACTGCACCAGCAAACCGTCATCAAGGCACCATAGTTGCGGCGCTTTGCTGGCCGGCTTCCTATGTTCATCTGCCCAAGCTCAGAGGTCGGGGTGAAGGTATGGAAGAAACGGACAAAGATGTCGCCCTCACCTTGTGGAACTTTCATCGATTGGTCGATTGGTTTCAAAAACAACATACCACTGTCCTATCCCATGAAATACCAGTTTGTTGATATGGGTTATAATAATCCCCAATAACAAGGTGGTTTAATTCCTCAGAATAAACAATCAACTAGGGCATTTTTAATTGCTCGATTGTTTTCAAAATTTACAGGACACTATGTTTTGTTAGCCACAAACATTCGGGTTTCCTGCAAATTTTCCGTGCAACCAGTTCTGTCATTCGAATGACTAGAACTTAGATGGCTGACATGGCGGATAAGGTTTTTATGTCAATATAGAAGGGATATAGTGGTATGATGTGGTATGTAATGAAGGTATATGCCACGATAGTGGTAATGGGTGTGTCTGAAAATGGGGATATGCAAATATATATATTATGTCACTGTCAGAGTCACTCTTGAACACCGTGTCTTGGTAGTGTTTGGCCGAAATGTCTGCCAGCTCCTGACAGGACATCGGCCTGGAGTATCTGTGTCTCAAGTCACTTCGGATTTTCCAAGTTTTGATGAACCAAATGAGATCATGCGATTTTCCAGCATTTTTTCCAACCTCTTTTTGGTTTCAAGGGCCCTGGTCCCTTGATCAACCCACCTTTTTTCGCTCACCCATGGGCTCCTGCATCGCCGCCCGGAACTCCGCTTTCGGCAACGGAGGCGGCGCCAAGGTGTGCTCCAACACAGCGGTGGAGTACTGCTCCAAGCTGCGCTCGGCCACCTCTGGGCTCGGGAAGTTGCGGCCAATCATCTCGCCCTGAACCGTGAGCCTCGCAGAAACCATGGCTTGGTGGGTGGAAGTCCTGATCTGAGATAAATCTGGGTGGATTTCTTTAAGACCTCATCTTCCAATTCAAGTGGCCCATTTTGGGTGCATGCTTCATTTTCAGACGCAAGCAATCCAAGGACAAGAAAGTTTTTGGTCTATACCTCTGTGGTAAAGCCTACTCACCGTGTACTCACCGAGATTGTTTTCCCACCAGCCAGCTCTAACTTTGATTGTTCATTTTCCCATTTTGTTGCTTATTATCCCTTCCTGCTCCTAAAATTAAATATTCGATTTAAACCTTGAAAATAGATTGATCCACCACTTAAAAAAAGGCTTCTATGGGTGTATTGAATATTGGGGGAAGTCATTACCACAATTCGTTGCTTCTTAAGCCTCATGTTGCTTGTAACATCATTTTGATTGGTGGTATCCTCCAGTTTTGTTGAACATTAACCAACATTAATAAGATACAGTATCGGATGTATCGGTTTCTCCAAAATTGTGTCCAAGCAAATCCCATGGTTGATTATCATTTTCCATATGAAAAATTGCCATTTTGGGGTTGCCCCATTTTCAGATAACGCCAGCGCCATATCATATTGTTGGCTACAGTATATCAAATCATATCCAATGAACTAGCCCCGTTTTGTCCCCATTCTATCTCAATCTTCATTGTGGTTCCCAAATGCTACCCGTATGAGCCATAAGACATGGTATATATAGATTAATCCCTTCCTCCTAATACTAAACGTCCCCCTAATACTAAAAACAGGCATCCATCTCCAATTTCCGAAAATTTCAGTTTGGCCAATTTGACTTTTAATTGATCCCCTTTAAAAAACAATTTAAAAATCAACCTACCATTTGTGGGTTCTCCCCCCTAATACTAAAAACTAGTTCACCCCGGGGTGTTTAGTATTAGGGGGGCCTAGTCCCAATCCCTCACTCCAAGCTGCCTAGCTACTCTAGCAATTAGGGGTAAGCTTCTAACTGCCATTTTTGGCAATATTTTAATTGCGTTATATAAGGAAATTTAATTGATTTTGAGATCGGAAAAAATAGTTTTTAGTATTAAGGGTTTTAATTTAGTATTAGGGGTAAGCTTCGAACTGCCATTTTTGGCAATATTTTAATTGCGTTATATAAGGAAATTTAATTGATTTTGAGATCGGAAAAACTAGTTTTTAGTATTAAGGGTTTTAATTTAGTATTAGGGGTAAGCTTCGAACTGCCATTTTTGGCAATATTTTAATTGCGTTATATAAGGAAATTTAATTGATTTTGAGATCGGAAAAAATAGTTTAGAGTATTAAGGGTTTTAATTTAGTATTAGGGGTAAGCTTCGAACTGCCATTTTTGGCAATATTTTAATTGCGTTATATAAGGAAATTTAATTGATTTTGAGATCGGAAAAAATAGTTTTTAGTATTAAGGGTTTTAATTTAGTATTAGGGGTAAGCTTCGAACTGCCATTTTTGGCAATATTTTAATTGCGTTATATAAGGAAATTTAATTAATTAATTAACATGACTTCGATTTGGTTCCCTAATAATAAATACCCCCCTAATACTAAAAACTACCTGCCGTGTTTTGTATTAGGGGGGGGGGTTTAGTATTAGGAGGAAGGGATTATGGACATCCACCATTCTTGGGAAATCATTAATCTTGGCCATTTGAAACCCCTATCGATTAATGGTGGTATCACAATCCCCCCACTCTGGGCATATGTACATGGTCAATCTTTCGTAGTCTACAAAAAATCAATCTTTTCCTGGTTATGGATGGTTATGGTAATGTCCGATTTATAGCAACAAATTAAAGGATCAACTACCTATCCGGTTGGGGATGTTTTTTGTGTTCAACTTTTGACCATGGCTGAAAAGAGGTAGTCCACAGTTGCACCCTGGATGGTCACCAGCGCCTCAGGTGTCCGTTTTGCAAGGACCCTGCGGGCTGCGCCAACATGATGTGGTGTGGTGGCCCACCACCACGACCAATGGATCCACCACGACCATGGAAGAAAGTGATGTCCACGCAATGCTTTTTTCCCACCTGCAAACAGTGGGAGCGTTTTGAAGTGCATGTAATGGGAGAACCAAGGCGCGCATAAATGCTACTAGAATGCGTACGAGTCGAGTATGTATTTATTTACAATGGATATGTGTATATGTATATATAATTTATATATAGAATGCTGTAGGATGGATATAAATGTATTATATTATATATATATGGATATAACATATTAGAAAATAATAGAAAATAGATCTAAGTGGCTACATAGTGGGTATATGGGTTAGTCTCAAAATGGCAGATTCCCAATTGATTTGATCACTTTGATAGGGAAAATTATGATTAACCAATGACCTTGCACCATCTGGGATGCATCATTCGAGGAGCCAGATGTTTCCCCTACTTCCTGAGATGTCAACGGATTATTTCTATTAAAGCTTCTTGTGTGTCCCACTTTGGAGATGTGGGTGTAGAGAAAATAGGGCTAAAGCAATTGCCACATCAATCATTAAAAAATGAGAACATCATCATGACCTTGGGGATTTTGCTGAATTTTTCATGGTTTTTCCATTCAAAACCTCGCACTTTCCCCAGTTTTTCCCAGGTCCCAGTCGATTCCCAGCTCCGCCTCCAGTAGGTTCTCCATGGCACGGTGAAGTTCCCAGGTCGATGCAAACTTTCCAGCGTCCTTCACGCTGTCGGAGTAGCCCAACATCACCTGGCTTTGGGCTGAGCTATGATGGGCAAAATTCGGTAGCAAATTGCATCGTGATATATATATATATATATCTATCACATATATATATATGTATATATGTATATTATTTTCTCCAATTTTATGATATATTATAAATGTCAACAGTGATGAGATGATGATGATGATGATGATGATGATGATGATGTAGATGTATTGTTTATGCTTTGATCAGAGATTTTCTTTTCAGAACATAGTGTTGGACCTGGGATAGTGGCCATATTTCAAGGCCTTGCCAATATTTGGATGGTTGAAAGAGCATGGGTTGCCATTTTTTTCGAGCCATGATACTCAGGTCTCGTGAGCGTCTTGTCCACTTGTGGGCACACCCATTACAACCATTGCAAGTTGCACGGGCGGCTCACAGAAAAAGCTGTGTCTTTTTTGCTTCTTTGTTCAGGTGCATCATCCGAATGATTCAAGTCTATCAGCAACAAAATCGGCAACTCATACGATCTCACTTCAATCTCTAAAAAAACTTGATAACTTTCAACATCCAAAGTTCCCCAGCTGATCCCTCCGGTTGCACCTCCTGCTTCCCCTGGATGTGGTTTCTGTACCATGGGACACTGAGGACAGCGTCCATCACCTTTGGCGCGTTGATCAGGTCCTCTCGTGTTTCAAACAATGGAGCCACCCGCATAAACTTCTTCACGCCTCCCAGTTTCTGCAGCAAACACACCTGGCGACATGCCAGCGATTGATTTTTTTTTGAGTTTGAAATTTAAGCATGACTCCATGACAATGATCAGTGATCATCAAAGAAACAAGCAGAACTAAAAAAGAGCTGGATACTAAATGATATTGAATGAAGTTAATGAACTTCATCACCTCATCATCATGATACAATCAGTATCATCATATTCTCATGATATGAATCAGTATTACTATTATGATATAATCAGTCTATTACTCATTAAAATGATATTTCAACCAGTCATCACCATCCCATCGCCAGAGTCACCGTGAGGATATCCGAGGTGGTTCGAGTCATTGAAATCACGTAGGCACCCAGAGATTCGCTGGGAAGTGTCGCAATGATCCTTTAAGGTCGGTCGGGTCGGTCCCAGGAGGCGCCACTAGAAACTATCATAATACACAGATATATATGTATATAGATAGTATGTATAGTGGAAAAATACACATGTATTTTTAGTTGTCATGTGTAATAAAGATTCAAAAAAAGACTGTGTCTCGTATTTCGTTGATTCAAGTTGCATCACTGAAGAAATTAATGGCAAAGCTATTACTACACAGGAAATATCATTGTCAAGAAATAGTGTACCTCAAAGTCCTAGTGGCTGATCATTTTCTCAGCAAATTTGCCAACAAAATGAGGGGCCCGACTCCCGTGTCTGGACAAACCCATATGCATAAAGCTATATTTAGAGATTATTTCTAGATGATTTTCCCATTCAAAACAAAAACAACCTTTACTTTATCATTATTTATTCGATTGAATTTGAATCATCTGGGAAAAACATATCTTTTTTCGCGCCAAAAAAAGCTGCTGATACCCTGCAGTTCATCGATATGGACGCAGCCAGGCAGATCAGTTTCCCCATGGGGAAAACCCCATGGTTTTCCGTCAGGGCTCTGGTACGTCGATAGGATCTCACGCACCATCTCACTCATCTCCATCTCCGCTGGTAGCAAGGGACGTTTCGATTGGATCTCCTTGATGAGAAAATCACAGCGTTCCTGCGCCGGCTCGCGACGGTTGATAGATGTTGATCTGTTTGCAGCACTTTTCATTGGATTTATACCACCAACATGATTGATATAATCTGGTGTATATATATATATACATACACATACTGTACATATCAAATCATATCAGTATGTATATATATATATATGTACTCATATATACTCAACCTTTGCTTTCCTCACCCACCTTGGCTCCCACAAATGAGCTGTGTCCAAAAGGTCACAAGGTCCTTCTCAGTCCAGTTGCTGAACTTCCCAAGATCCAGGAAGGAAGTCAACCTTAGCGCCAAATTCTCAGGTGAAACTAGGGCGAAAGTCACAATGAGCGTTGATATAATGTGGTAAACCCAATAGTGATACCGTACTACTCTTACCTAATAACAAATAATAACACATACTAACACACACACATATATATATACTGGTTGGTGGTTTCAACCCTCCGAAAAATATTAGTCAGTTGGGATGATTATTCCCAAAATATGGAAAAATAACAATTGTTCCAGACCACCAACCGAGTGATGTCGAGAAGCAGAATTTCATGTTCATATCTGCCTCAACTCTTCTGGTGGGTACAGGAGGTCTTTTACTAACAAACAAACGTTGACCCATCATTGTCGCTTTTGAGACATCACTGTACTGGACTCATTTTTAATCATCTCTGCCATGTCATGTGGATGAACAATCACGAACGGACTCGACAAGACAATAAAAACATATAAAAACCCACCAAGCCCGTAAATTCACCAGCAAACAGATCCATTCACCAATCAGCAGCTTTCAGCTTGGAAACGTGTCCATGACTTCTGCGTGCCGATCGGATTCTTGTCGCACATCAAGGCATGCCATGCACAAACCGAAGGTTCGCACGCGTCGAATGAGATCCAGAAGCCTGGAACAGCCAAGGCGGATTCAAACGACCGAAAGGGAAACAAATGAGGGAAATCAGGCGGTGCGGATAACATATATATAGTTATATCTTGTTATATAATTTATATATATATATATTAAACATATATAATTATATTAAAATATACATATGTATGGTATTATTCCTTGTAGTTGCAGAGTGTTACTGTTATTGCATTCACGTCATGGATCATAGGCCACATGCCGGCCTGCCATTCGCCATGATCTCGTCGCCGTTTTCCACCAAGGAAGCGTACCTGTCTGAATCTCGTGAGATTGAACGCTACCCATTTCCCACCCATTCGGGTAACAGGGGGTATAACTATTGTAACAACAGTCTTCCTACAGTAGGATATAAATGGGTATAGGATGGTATAGGTATTGTAACAACAAGCATAAAGCATAAGTTGGGATATGGGCCCCCTATAACTCTGGTGAAATAGATCCACTTATAATAAATGGAATATACTGGAACTGCACCTAGGTTTCAAATGTTTTGCCATTCTGGGATGATGGCCCAACAATCAAAAAGTGAGCTTGACGTGAGGTCGCTCTTGGCTTTACCAAGCATCAAAGGGAACCAACAAGGGACAACTCATGACAACTCCCTTCAGTATGCCGATAGCATGAACTCGCACAACTCAATCAGCCCAAGGTGCATAATCTCGAAAGGTCGAGCCAACTCTTCCGTCCTGTTGAAGGCTTCCTTCTCAAAGTCTGGATCGTTGGGTTTTCCTGAACTCGCAGGAAACCCGAGATCTCCACAAAGATCCCTAACCATTACCCCAAAACCCTACCCCAAAGTTCCTCCTTTTTCAGTGTCGTTTCTTGATTGCTGGTGTTTTAAGGCCAGATGTGAAACGGTGTTAACCACCATCAACCCCAACAATAGAAATTTATTACTATGCTTTTCAAAGCCCTTTAAGGGTGGGCTTGGACTTCATGGTCATTGTGTTGCTTTTCCAGAGACTGGCTCGAAATGGGGGATGCAAGGGGATGCAAACATGTTATGGTCATTCTAATGGTGAAAAACAGGTTAATTTTAGCCAACTTCGGAGGTTTTGCCACTGAATTTCAGCCAAGGCCTGGCAGCCATCCCCCAAATATAGGACAACTACAGTACCCCCAAAACGAAGAAAAACCATACAACTTAAGATTTGTTGATCCCACATTGTAACTTGGATTTGCTTAAGGAACCGAAAAAAGCACAACATATTCCCTATAGATTCGTCAAAGTAGTGGATTTCCCATTGGGAACATAAAACATAATCTTCAGCAAATCCAAGAATATATATGAATAATTATATATATGTATATGTATGTATGTATATATATATATATCCTTGTATATGTATAATTATATATATATAAATTATAGGTCCCAAATGCATGCCGCTCCAGCAGCAATTCCACCGAGTCTCCTAGGTACTGTGCTTCCATCGACACCTTGGTCCGGTAGCAGCGGCGACGTACAGCCATCAGAAGCCTCCGGTACGGTTCGTCCTTCGGTTTCAAGGAGCTGAACTGAAGATTGTTCGGGTTTTTGGCTATGATTCCTCTGATTGGGCTGATGTATTGACTATTTTGCATGACTATATACGTATGTAATATTTACATATATAATATCATATATATATAATTATGTATCTGTATATATATATATATAAAATTATGTACATGTATTTTCTCATGATTTCTCTGGCATATCCTTCTTTTCGCGTTCAACCGCGTCCTCCGCCACGCCCGTGTGGAAGTTCCAGTGCACGCCGCTACGTTCGTCGGGGCGACAAACCTTGGAGCCCGGGCGATGCGGCGCGGTCCACATGCTGCTGACCGCTGCCACTTCGTCCATCATCTCCTGGTGTGGTCGGTGCAAAAAACCACCAAAACTATAGGGAAACTATGGAAAATATGGGACAATTTGGGAACATGTAGGGAAAATCTAGGGAACATATGGAAGATATGGAGGTTGAACTCAGAAAATGAACATGTATGGCTGATTTTTATGATAGCACAGTTTGTTGCTTTCGTTCAAGAAAAAAACAGTTTTGGCTTGATCTGTTGGTCTCTTGGGAGCTTTTTCAGATATTTTGCTCCGACAATATGGGATTGCTCCCAGCCAGATATCCCCACAATGGGGGGAAACATTTAAGGATCAAGGTTCGAGCATCGGCAAGACCAGCAGGGACCAGCATCTCTCAGATATTTGGCAAGTTAAAATGGTGATGTTTGATGGGGAGAAACAAAAATAGTGGGGATAATGGACTAATGGGGATATATACTTAACAATTGTTATAACAATATGCAGTTGGGAAATGGACGACTTAGCAATGGAACATGGGGACATTCGCCAAGCATCAATGGAGGTTGAACCAACAAGAATGATATCGTATACATTCCTAGAGCAGGGATAATCCCATGTATCTCTATATATATATATGCAACATGATGCACCCATATTCCAAAAAAAACCTGTTTCAAAACCAATATCCAAGATGTTTCGACCATATAAATCATATAAAAACATATTTCAAAATAAGTTCTCCAAATTGTTCTCCAAATTCAGCATCAGCTCACCATCGGATCATCCCATCGGATCATCCTGACTGATGCCACCCGACATGCTGAGCTCGTAGAGCAACTCATCCACCTCGCGGTAGTAGAGCTCCATGATGCGCCAGCGCAGCAGTGTCACCACCTGTTTGGTGGTTTGCCAGGTGACATTGGGATTGCCATCACGATCACCTGGGCGGACATGGAGGAGAGAAAAACAACAAGTCGTCACCATAGATGCTTTAGTACGACTTTACGGTCATCCGTGGATGATTTGGAGCCCTATTTTAGGAACCCCCAGATCACTCCAGCATGTTTGTTTGCTTCGTCATGTCCCAAGCATCCTTGAACTTTTCAGCCAACGAACCCAACTCCCCCAGAGATCCAGTGCCCTGTGGCAAGGCACCTCCCATCCAACTGCTCACCTTTAGGATTGACGCATCCAGTGGCAAACCTTCCACTCCAACTCGTTTGAGACATCGATCCAATCGGCGGTAGTGTTCTGGCACGGCTTTCCAGATGGTTTCCTCAATGACCAACCTTGGTAGTCAGGTGAATCTTTGGAAATTGGGCATCTTTCTTTATTCAACTTGTTCAATTTCATGAACAAATGTGGAACACATCGAATTGGATCATCTGGCTTTGCTGTTCTTGTTTTTTGGAATGGAAAGCGCCACATAATTTGGCGGCAGTAGCCAGTAGCTAGGTGACACACCATGGCTCCCTGAAACCTTTCAGAGCTGCATTCTGGGGCTCATGGCATCTCAGCTTCACCAATGTCATAACTTCTGGTGTCGACCCAACATGTTTGTTGCTTCACTGCCGCCCCTTTTTTCCCGGGATTTTGACAGTAAAAACAATCCATGACATTCCCACATATTTTCCCTTAAAGTCTGAAAAACATAGGGAAATCTATGGAAATGTCATGGAACTCTTCTACTTTCATAGATTTCCATAGAATTTCCATAGGATTTCCATAGAATTTCCATAGAATTTGGTGAACAAAAACACCAGCGAACTGCGCCACCAGGCTGCATTCCATTGCGGGCCTCACCCTCAGGCGTGGGCCGGGTGCGGCGCACGGTGTTGGTCCGCCAACAGCTCCACTGTATGGCCTGTGGAGCTCTCACCATTTCACGGGTCAATTTTTGGGGATACCAACATCATTTTACTAATCTATGGGATTATATGGTTTATAACATGGGATTATGGGATTATGCCAACCAACAATTTTTGGGAAGGGGTTATACCAAGCAACATCATATGCTTCACTACATCTATGGTTACTGTTCTGACTAACCAACTATGATATACAAATCCAATTCCCCTAATATGGAAAAAAAACGAAACCATGGTGGATGTAGGGGATGAAATCTACATAATTGGGACCATTGGTTCCTGTAGGTGTGAAAAAATGAATGCGGGATGGGATTAATGATTAATGGGGTTGCAGCGACCATGACTAACTTCAGATCAGTTTCCGGTTGTGTTTTTGGATGCTGGAACTTGGAACTTGGAACTTAGATCAATGGAATCAATGGATGGGTCCTGTTGAGAAAATTGAGGATTTACGCACAAAAACAATAATTTAACTTAATGCCAAAATAGAGACTTTATCACCAAACATTGGGATTTAAGCATGTTAAATCGACAATCAATGGATTGATTTTCATTTAACAATTACAGGAAACCATGTTTTTTCCCCATGAGACAGAGGGGTTTCCTGCCAATGTTCCCTTCATGGAATTTCCAGAGTTCTGAAATTTCCACCGCGATTGGAATGTTTTTTCCAACCGAGTACTGAGATTCAGGTGGCTTATGCTATACCAATAAATCCAACCGGTTCTGACGTGTGGATGTGAACATCCAGCGCATGGAAAAAAACCACCTGCTGGAGGATGGGGAAACCTATGGATGGAGGATGATCCGTTGCCAGGTTAGACTACCGGAGGGTCTGGTGGTTTCACAGTAAATAATATAATATAATATATATGAGATAAAATAATATAATATGAAATTAATATAACATAATATAATATATGATATAATATATATATATATAATATAATATAATATGTATATAATATACATTTAATATGTATATACATATTATCAACGGATTAATAAATAAATATATATATATATATCATATACCATGTATATATGTACATATTGTATTTGCGGTTGACTAGACTGCATGCTTCAACGCTATGGAACGCATGGGTTACAAACCACAGAAAATTGACTACCCAAGGCATAGGTCTAGACCATCAAAGCTAAGAAGCAGGAACATCCTGACTGGTTTATGTCTTTGGAAAATGGAGACGTTCTTTAACAACATTTTGGGATTATGTAAAGCTAGAATAATGGGTTCCTTTATCAACTATATGAATTGTATGATAGCAGTCTGAACAGTAGATTCGACCAACGAACATTGGAACTCATCCAGCAATGGGGATCCAACCAACAAAAGCAACAAACATGTAGCTCAACCAACTAAGATTTGGACTCAAGCAGCAAACAACATAGGTTAAACCACCAAGCATATCCAAACATGACCATTGTAAAAATGGACACACCACAAAAACGGGCATACGATTCACATTATGGAGCAAAATGTGGCCGGTAGACATAGGGGTTTCGCAGGTAATTTGTGATAGATTGGATACAAATTGGGCTACTATTCAAAAAACGTGCACCACTAATTGCACTGAATCAAAGAGTATCCTGGCAGTATCCTGAATAAAAGCTTTGAGGGCATTTATGGGTTTGTCTGCAAATGAGCATCCCTAAAGTCCAATGGTTTATCATAAAATTCCCTGTCAAAATTTCATGTTTTTTTCCCGTTCAAACCACATTTCAAACAAACCCATCATGTTTGCTTAATACACCCAATATCAATCCCCATTATTGGGTTGAATCACCATTATATAATATATACAATAAATTCCAATAATATAATATAGTTATTGTTGTTTGAACCTCCATTCGTTGTTGGTCAAATTTCCAATATTCCATCGCTACATTCCATAATCCAACTGGATAGTGTCAACTATATTCCCACTATATAATTGTATCCCCATAAAAACATCACCATTTTCCCGAGTTAAATCTTGTGTTTGATAGCCTAGCGTTTGATGATCCTGGTCCATCTCGGGTCTTGTTCCCACAGCCAAATAGCCATTTGGGGCATATACTGTATGCTTGGACTGACCCATGAATGGGTATCTATGTTCGGGATTTTCACCACCATGTAAGTTGGGTAACTAGTGTAACTATGGTGAAATGTATCCAGTTGCATGGTGTAAATCCAGTGATTTTCATGTAATATACCCTCTGGTAACGCAGCTATTGAAAATTGCCATTTATATCCATTTATACTTGATTTAACTATTAAACATGCATGGTTTTCCAGTTCGCTATCTTGCTTAACCAGAGGGTAACATAGGGTAACTGGGTTTTTCTGGTGTCACGCACCCCCAGTGGCCCCCAAGGCCTTGATGTTATCATTCAGTTCTTCCAGTTGCCCTGGTGTCAGCTGGTCCTTTGCGTCATGCACCTGGCGATCGCATCCCCGTGAAAAAATATCACTTGTTTTGCATAAAACATGGCCTCAATACTATACTAATAAAAATGATAGTGATCTTATTAATATGTATCTTAATCGTCATAACACTTATATTAATCATTTTGACAAAACAACTCGGAAAAACATGGTGGATTTCTTCCTCCCATCCTTTCTTCATTTTCTTCCCTTCCCACCTTCATGTGTTCCAACATCTGCTCGTGTTTCTTCAGGGCGCTCCTGCGCTGTGCCTCAGTGGGATGTGCCGTCAGGACCAGCTCAACCTTCTGCGAGACGATGGCGGCGCGAATGTCTTCGGGGCTCACGCCCTTTTGGAGCAGCTTCTGGAAAGTGCCTTTAAAGCTCACCACCTTAACATGGAAAATTTTGCATGGGATTTTTGGAGGGTGTTGAGTGGTGTTTTTCCTGCTGGATTTTGATGGATTTTAGAGAATTTTCGGATGATCGTGGATGATTTTGGGATTTCCTGATTTCCAGAGTTAGCCAAGTTCGAAAAAGCGTTGGTTTAGTTCACTCCAATTACTGTTGGGTTTTTATGGTGTATAATATATATATATATATACGTATATAGACATCCAACTAGTTGATGGGGTTATAAGCCTTGATAAACCACCCGACATGGAGGACATGGAGGACATGGAGGACATGGAGGACATTGATTTTGGGATTTCTACATGTTAGTTTTTGTATATGTTTTATGGTAAGACACATCTTATTAAACTAATATTTTTTGTATGGATTTCTAATGATCGCATGATTTATCATGAGATGTTCATAGATTTTCCCTATTGACATGATCATTTCACAGGTATTCCCCATGAGCATACACATACAGGGGGAAAGCCTTGGGTCATCCCATTCTTTTGAGGTTGAAACTGACAGATATTGATTTGAAACCAGCAGCCAGCAGCCAGATTGGTGACATAGCCGTTGTACCCCATTTAAATGCCTTATGACCCCAGTTTCATCACTCTACCAATCCCATGAAACGAATTATTCAACGCCTCCCCGCCCACGATTTTTTCAAGTTTAAATCTCAATTGCCCATGGCTAAATGCAATGTTTCATGGTTAAAGTCAGGTCCAATTGTTTGATGGTTATAACCCCTCCACCCCTTTTTCATGCTTAAATCATAACTTTTCCATGGCTAAATCCCCAGTTGGGTTTGTCTGAGCATAGGCTACCGGATACACTAGCCCCACATTCGATGCTTGATTATCATTGTCCCCGTTGAATTTGGCCATAGATTGAGGTAGATTCATTTTCAAACAAACTTCAAACCCATATCATATTTGGCTTCCCCAATATCGATCTCATTCTTAGGTTAAATCCCCTTCATATCCCCAATAAATATATACTCATTACATCTTATTATTGTTGCTTAAACCTCCATGACTTGTTGGTTCAATTATCTCAGATTCGCGATGTTCCGTCCATTTCAATGGGTAAAAATTGGTAAGATGATGATTAACTATGAGATTTTGGGGTGTCCTATTTTGAGACAAACCCATTTACACCCACAAAAAAAAGGTAATCAAATTCATGAAATCTATACATTCCCATTTTTATTTTGTTAAAAAAAACGCATCCCAAATTTCCTTGGGAAAATGTCCCAGGCTTGATGACGTAGATGCGGATCCGAGGCGCTGAGCTGTCTTCGGTGTTGCTGGTCTCTTGGACTTCCTGAGACACCGAAGCCTTGAAGGTGCGCAGCCGATGATGTGCCTCCGCGAGACCTGCTTGGACCAAAATTTCTTGTAGGACCCGGCCTCGAGACTGGGCGCTGATCTCTGGGAAAAATGTGGATTTTTGACACTGGAAAAGGATCATATAAGGATTTGTTGGATGAACATCTGGGATTTTTGATGATTCATGAGATGGGTATTCTTGTATCGTATCATGGGTAGTTCACCCATTTTTGATGCTTACATTTCTTAGGACACGAATCCGGGTCCAGCAGTCCAGATCCCGACTTCACCGGCAAGAACTAAGCATACCAATTGGATCTGGTGGGTGCTTGGGGTGGACAAAATGTGGTATTGTATTGTCAAACAAATAGATAATTGCTGCCAAACATTGCTGAACATCGTGGGTTCTCGGGACTCAAGAGTGTTTTTCCTTGCTTGACTCATTCCCATGTGGGGAAGACAACCTGAAATGGTGTACCATAAATTTAAGATACTCTTAAAACAACGTTTTCTAACAGGATATCATATGCCTCAGTGGATTGCTAGTATTCTAGTATTCCCATTAAACTTCCGGTCCCATCACAATTATTGGGCTGGATTTTCCACCGGGTGATTTTTTTACTGGGATTTTAGCCATCTAATCGGCCCAACCTGAGACCATCATCTCGTAGTTGTCCATCTTTTCCACGACCTCCACCACTCGGTTGAAATATTCCACCCCCTTGCGGTACTCTTCTGCTGCATCCAGCACTTTCAATGCCGCTCGTGGCAGCAAGACTTGTTCCTTCTTGTCTCCATTCGTCCTGCGTAAGTAGTTATCTAACTATGCAATGATATAATTATATAACATATATGTAAATACGTTAATAATAATAATAGTAAGAATAATAATAAATAACATGATATGGTTCAATATTTACATGTAGGACCAGAATATATACTATAATTGTATGTATATTATGATACGGTCCCCCCAGTCCCACCGCCCCTCCCCCTTAATGGTTATGGGTCTACAGGTCCAGGGGTATACATATAGTGATATTTGATCTCCTCCCCGTGTGGGTTGGTGGGGTGGGCACGTCAGGAAAGGGGTATACATGTATATATATATATAGTGTATATAGGAATACGTTATCATGTACAGGTACAGAAGTAGTGGTGAACCATAATATATAGATAGTATATGATAGTATATAGCTAGTGAATTCAAAGCATGTAGATAGCACGCAGGCAGTATATAGGTAGTGTATAGGCATAAGATAGCGTAAGATGGTAAATAAGGGGTTGGTATATAATATATTCATATATATACATATAATATATATATATGTATAATATGTATATATATATATGTATATAATATATATATATTATTGTATGTATATATATATATTATTGTATGTATATATATATATTATATGTATATATATATATATATTATTGTATGTATATATATATATTATTGTATGTATATAAATATATAATCATATATATATTATTGTAAATATAAATATACGTTGTATATACAAATGTAAATATTGTATAAACAAATTTGTATATTGTATATATATATATATTGTATATCGTATAAATACAGTATATATATAGATATTGTATATATATATATATATATTTGTATATTGTAAATATATATATATATTTGTATATATATATTGTATATATATAAATATATAATATAAAGAAATATAGTACATGTATATTATATTGTGTACAACAATAATATATATATATAAGTAGGTAGTAAAAGATAGAATTTAACTATGCCGTCGAAAGACAATACATATAGATATTAGCAGTACCAAGATAAGATTGTATAGAACTGCTGCATTGGGCAATCAGCAGGCTGTATTTGTGCTAGATATAGGTTGTATATATGAGCTGCGAACCATATTTGTTACATAACGCAGTTGACGGGGTGTTCCTACCTCGTTCTCCAGTCCCGTAACGTTTTTGCCTACCTCGTTCTCGGGGTGTTCCTACCTCGTTTTACAAGCTAAATATGATGTTTTTGACAAACCGGGGTACGCCCGAATACTACTTTCCATATACGCAAATAAGAGCCGTCGCTCATATGTATATAGTATAATTATAGGTAGTGGGTAGGGAATATACAAATACGAGATAGAGGGGTATTTCTGGGGGACCCAACCCATTGGGGGAAGATATATATATATATGTATATAAATAATTATCGAAGGAAGTTTAGAAGTCAAACTTCCGACAATATGGACAGATGAAAAGCAGAGGTGGTAAGAGTCAAAGAAGAGAAGAGAAGAGAAGAGAAGAAGAAAGAAGATCAAAAAGAGAAAGTCTCAGAAGAAAGAAGATCCAGGTGCCCGAAAAGGTAGCAGTGTTTTTCCAATCATTTGTGGCTCCGGAGGATCGAAAAGTAGGCTTGCTAAAGCGGCGGGTGCGGAGCCCGCTGGGCAGATGAGAGATGAAAAATTGCAC